CTACGACTACTACTACTACTACTACTACTACTACTACTACTACTACTACTACTACTACTACTACTACTACTACTACTACTACTACTACTACTACTACTACTACTACTACTACTACTACTACTACTACTACTACTACTACTACTACTACTACTACTACTACTACTACTACTACTACTACTACTACTACTACTACTACTACTACTACTACTACTACTACTACTACTACTACTACTACTACTACTACTACTACTACTACTACGACTACTACTACTCGACGATCACAACGACGACGACGACGACGACGACGACGACTATTACCGCTGATACGGTCGGGAACTTTTGCTTAGCATGCCGCGGCGGCGGCCCGGGCGACAAGTTTTGACCTGCAAACGGTTAGCGTGTCACTCCGTTCCGCGGGGAGGGAGGCTGCGAAATGCTAAGAACGTTGACGCTTGGGGAATGGAACGCGGTTCTCGTGTCGCACCGAAGCGTGGGTGCTGAGCCAGAACCGGCGAGACACACGCTAGGCACAAGTTCCAGACCGTACCACCACTGCAGTGCTAGTCGGAGGTACAAGCACGTAGTGGGTGGGGTCCGCGCGCGATCATCAATGCTTCTATTAAACAGGCGCATCAGCCTGCTGCTTCTCGAAGCCGTCTGCGTCGCCCTGGACGCGCACCGAGTAGCTCACCTGACCCCTTCCACTCCAATTATGCCCCTCGATCGCTCCTCTCCCGCCAGCTCGTCGCCATCCATCATGGCAAGCCCTCCTCCCTCTCCCCCGACCTCGTGGAACCCCCACCCATCCCAGCCACTCCCCTGTCCACCCGCAGGAAGGGAGGCGGCGGGAGGGGAGGGGCAGGGGGTGGGGGAGGGGAGGGGCAGGGGGTGGGGAGGGGAGAAGGCATGGGTGGAGGGACGGGGGGAGCAGGGGCGAGATGATGGAGGGTGGGGGAGGGGAGGGGGCGGGCAATGGCGGGGGGGAATGGCGGGGGGGAGCGCGGCAGGGGAGGGAGGCCAGGGGGCGGAGGGGAGTGCGGGCAAGACGGGGGAGGCTCGCCTCCACCTCGGCCTCGTCGTCCGTCGCCAGCCCCTGCCGCGGCAGCGCCAGCCTGTCGCCTGCAGCGGCGGCCAGCTCGACGGTGATGTCGGCGCCGGCTGGGAGGGCGGCCATCTGGGGCAGCCCTCTCGCGGAGCCCACGAGCGCGCTCTTCACCGTCGCGTCGGCCATGAAGGGCTGCAAGTAGAGCGTCCTGACCCGAATGCGGATGGGCCACCTGATCGGGGGCCACTTGCGAAACCGACCCCTACTACCTCCCACGATTTCCGAGGGGGAGGGTGGGGTCCACTCCGCTCGGGAGCTCCTGAATCATGTGAACCCCACCCTCCCCCGCAGAAATGGTGGGGGGTAGGGGTAGGGTTCGCAAGTGGCCCCCTGCCTGATCCACCACCACCAGCCCCAGGCGCCGCAGTTCGGCGACATCCACGTGCAGCTGGCGGGCGTCCCGACGGGAAGGCACAGGCCGGTGCTGAAGGGCGTCATCCCGATCTGGTTGCACCAATCCGACGCCGTGCCCGCCTGGCAGGGTGAGGCGCGGTAGATGGCCGAGTGCTGCCTGGAAGGGTTCGTGTGAGACTTCTGCCCCCCCCCCCCCTCCCCCTCCTCGCCACACGCAACATCGGGAAGTTTCCCTCCGTCCAGGCTCCCTGAGCGGCCGTACGCATCCCTCGCGCTCCTCAACGCTCCCATGCTCCCCCCCTGGAGGCGCCAAAGGAGCCTCGATAGGTTTCCAGGACACAGATGTGACAAGCAAGGGCCCCCCCCGGGAAGACCATACTCGGATGAGCTCCTCAGGTGTTCCAATAGTTGGTGTTTCCGGGACCTCTCGGCCCCAGATCGTTCCGACATGCCATCGACGCAGCCAGCCACAGGCCAAAATAGCCAGTCGATCGAGAGGGACGCAACATGACCAGCCATCACGGGATCAAGACGGCACCGTGATGGCCCCCGGGCGTCCCGACAGGGCACCAAGACGGCCCCACGAAAGTCCAGAACAGCCCCAAGGCGGCCCACATGGCCCATGGGAGCCCCGCCAGGACTATAGCGACGACAAGCGTCACGTGTCACGACCTTCTGGGAGGTGTCTGGAGCGTCGCCGCGCAGAGTGCCGTGCTGGCGCGGCGGAGAGACTTGCCGCAGGCAGCCTTCTAGCAGTTTGGCGCCGATCTGCAAGGCGAGCAGGAGTCGATACTGCTGCAGTAATCGTAGAGCGATGTAGGCGAGGGCGTAGGCGAAGGTGTTAGCGGCGGCGTCGGCGAGGGCGTGGGCGAGGGCGTAGGTGAGGGCGAGGGCGACGGCGTTGGCGAGGACGTGGGTGATAGTGAAGGCGAGGGCGTAGGCGAGGGCGTGGGCAAGGGCGTGGGCGAGGGCGTCGGCGAGGGCGAAGGTGATGGCGTCGGCGAGGGCGTGGGCGAGAGCGTCGGCGAGGGCGTCGGCGAGGGCGTGGGCGAGGGCGTCGGCGAGGGCGTGGGCGAGGGCGTCGGCGAGGGCGAAGGCGACGGCGTCGGCGAGGGCGTGGGCGAGGGCGTCGGCGAGGGCGAAGGTGACGGCGTCGGCGAGGGCGTGGGCGAGAGCGTCGGCGAGGGCGTCGGCGAGGGCGTGGGCGAGGGCGTCGGCGAGGGCGAAGGCGACGGCGTCGGCGAGGGCGAAGGCGACGGCGTCGGCGAGGGCGTGGGCGAGGGCGTGGGCGAGGGCGAAGGCGATGGCGTCGGCGAGGGCGTGGGCGAGGGCGTGGGCGAGGGCGTGGGCGAGGGCGTCGTAGGCGATGGTGTCGGTGACGGCGAAGGCGAGGGCGTCGGCGACGGCGAAGGCGAGAGAGTGGGTAAGAGTGTCGGCGAGGGCGTAGGCGAGGGCGTAGGCGCACCTGTTGGCGATGGCGTAGGCGACGGCGTGGGGGCTGCCGTGGGTGAGGGCGTCGGGACACTAGCGCAGGTGTCTGTGGCGCTGGTGCAGACCTCGCCGTCCGTGCACAAGTTGGTGCCGCAGTCGCACGGGTAGCTCGCGCTCGGCCCTGACCCGTCTGTGACGGAACACGGGTTCGCTGCCATGGCATAAGCCACCAGGTTGACAGTTGGTGTGGGGGTCGCGTCATTCGTGACACAGCCAGTGCAGTTGTTGGCCGTCAGGAGATCCCACCTCTCTGCGGCGGTTAAGGCTCCCGCAGTGGGGTACGCCTCGAACATTCTGGCCGCGAGCCCAGCGACGTGTGGACAGGCCATGGACGTTCCCGTCATGTATTGGGTATGGCTGTCGCTGGATGGGCCCGTCGACAGCACGCTCGTGCCTGGAGCATAGACATCGATGCATGAGCCCCAGTTGCTGTACGAGGCCCTGTCCCATGAGGTACCCGACGCCCCGCCAAAGGCTGCTACAGTGATCGCGCTGGGGATAAAGGCCGGAGAAAAAGTGCACGCGTCTTGGTTGTAGTTCCCTGCTGCAACCACCACGACAACGCCATCGGCTACCAAAGCGTCGGTCGAGGCTTGCCACGGCAAGTCAGTCCAGCCTGGCCCGACCTGAATGCTGGTGCTGACGACTGCTGGCCTGTTCCCAGACGACAGAATCCACTGCTCGGCTAGAACCATCCATGTTGTCCAGCCAGAGCCAGCATTATTCAAGACCTTCGCTGACCAAATAGTCGCGCCATCCGCGACGCCGTATGACGAGGACCCCACCGTGCCTGCACAGTGGCTGCCGTGCCCGTGTACGTCGTCAGCGCACGTTGTGCTTGTGGGCGAACACACTGCGAGAGTGCCCGGATACGTCCCCGAGGCGGCCACGTCAACTGCGGCGAAGGCCCGGCCGCCGAACTCCGTGTGGGTTATGCGAATGCCCGTGTCCAGCACGTACACGTGCACCCCCACGCCCCGCCCCCGGACCAAGTCCGCTTGGATGTACTGGAGGCCCCATGGATACGTCCGCCGCTGGCCGCTCCCATCGGAGTCGAGATCTGGGGCGTTCCAGAGCGGGTCTGGGACCATTTTCACGAACTCGTCCTCCTGGACAGAAAGCACGCGGCCTGGGTACTTGTCCAGCAGCGCCCGGAGACCGTCTTCTGTCAAATTCCCAAACACCAGTGGAACCTCGCCCCTGTCAGGATGGCTCTGCAACCCATTCGAGAACTCCAGGCTAATCTGCTTGAGCTCCGCGTCCTTAGCGTCGCTTTGCAACAACACCTTCCACGCGCGCTCCGTCTGAGGGTCGCGATTGGCCGCGGGCCGGGTGTTGACGGTCACGCCGGCGTACACGAAGGAATCAGGCGTCGGAGCCGTACTCGGCGTCGGGCTCACGGTCTGTATATTCTCCGTGGTCGTCACCTGACAACAACTCTGGACAGCATCGGTGAGGGCATTGGATACGGGGCCATTGGATGAAGAACACAAGGCTTGGAAGCCTGTGGAACGTCAGTTGAGACTTGGCCATGAGTATCGCCGCCGCCCTCATCGGATAAGGAAGCCCCCATGGTCTTAAAGCCTCCTGGGCACACTCCTCGACCAACGCCCCCACCGTACAGTCCCCGACCCGACTAGGGAAGCCCTGGCCCCGCTGGCCGGTGGGAATTGGTGCCACCTCCCTTGGGCTTGGGAGCAGACGTCCCCACCCAGGCGGGGGTGCGCTGGGGGAGCTAGCCTACCCTGTCCCTGTCGGGTTCGGAGTGGCTCCGAAGATGGTGCAAGACGACGACGGCGACGGCGACGGCGACGGCGACGACGTTGGCGACGACGACGACGACGACGATCACCGTGGGAGCCACGGCCGAGCCCGCCACCGGCTCCACGCCGAGCGCACCCCACGGCCCAGGATCGACTTCCTGCAGCTCGGCCAGGAGGCCGCTGGAGAAGTCCTGGTCGGCGGTGCGCGAACACATGCTCATGTCGCTTGAAATGCATACCGCGAAAAGTTTCGGAAACCTGCCCCAAACACGTGCACCTCGCGGAGAGCCGTACTTTACTTCCGCTGGCTTCTGCCACCCTTCTGCAGGCCTTCTGCTGGGGAAGAGAAGAGGTCAACCCCATCGATCCCTCGATGGCTAGGCCCTTCCTGGAACGCACATCTGCTGATTATGTGCTGAAGACATGTTGTTGTATCGAGGCTGCCAGCACTTGTAGGTGGCGACATCCGAACCCTACCCTCTCCAACCATCGATTATCCTGAATCGGTGGGAGGCGTGGGTAGGGTTCGAGTTTCGCCGCGTGTTCGACGAATTTCGAACCCTACCCTCGCTGCCCATCGAGTTGACTGAATCGTTGATCGGCGAGGTTGTGGGTCGGATTTCGCTGCCGAACGCAAGCAGTGCAGCTTCCGCCGTCGTCAGCGGAAGTCCAAGGTCCAGGTTTCCCCGCGCCTCTTGGGAGCGGCCTGGGACGCGCTTGGGTCTTCGCGTTGGCTCTGGGGGGCCCTGGGGCCGGCAACTACAACGAGGTGAGGCCGCCGAGTCAGTAGAGCGCCCCGGGGCCTGGGCGGGGCCCTGGGGCCTGGGCGCGACACGCCCCATGATGGGGCCCGGGGGCCTGGGCGTGAAACGCCCCATGATGGGGCCCTGGGGCGAGAGCGTGAACGCCGAGGCGGGGCCCTGGGGCCTGGGCGTGAGACGCCCCATGATGCAGCACCTGCAGCGAGGTGAGGCCGCCGAGTCAGTAGAGCGCGCCGCACAACGCCACTGCCGCTCGCAGCTGCATAGCAGAGGCCACCGCCTCCTCGAGGCGCGGACCCTGGGGGCCTGGACAAGCTGCACGACTCTCGTGTTATGTCGGGCGTGTCCCCCTACAGGGGCATTCTCTAAAAAATACCCCAAGCATACCCCAAACAAGGCTCTTGCACTAAGGAGCCGCGAGAGACAGGAGGCTTTCGCCTCCTTCCTCCAGGAGTTTATTTTTGTGGCCGCTGGGGGGAGGACGAACGACGAACGAACGACGACGACGAGCGAAAATAAAGAGGTCCGAGCTCAGGGCGAAGGGAACTGGGGACAGGGCCGGCGGGGGGGAGGCTGGGTCCAGGCCCTGGGCCAGCGGAGCAAGGGGAGCTGGCCGGACCAGGGACCCAGCGGGGCGAGGGGGGCTCCACGGGGCCAGGACCACGTGGGAGGTTGGGTCCAGGGCCAGAGTCGGACCAGGGACGACGAACGAAAACAAAGGGTCCAGCAAGGGGGGGAGTTGGGTCCAGGGCCAGGACCGGACCAGCTGCCAGGGACGACGACGAGCGAAAATAAAGGGTTGCCAGGGCGAGGTGGGCTGGGGCCAGGGCCGGGGGGGAGGCTGGGTCCAGGGCCAGGGTCAGCGGGGCGACGGGGGCTGGGGCCAGGGCCAGGTGGGGAGGTTGGGTCCAGGGCCGGGACCAGAGGGACAACGACAAACGAAAATAAAGGGTCCAGGGCGAGGGGGACTGGGGACAGGGCCGGCGGGGGGGAGGCTGGGTCCAGGCCCTGGGCCAGCGGGGCGAGGGGAGCTGGGGCCAGGACCAGGGGGGAGGTTGGGTCCAGGGCCAGGACCGGACCAGGGACGACGACGAGCGAAAATAAAGGGTCCAGGGCGAGGGGGACTGGGGCCAGGGCCGGGTGGGGGGGAGGCTGGGTCCAGGGCCAGGGCCAGCGGGGCGGGGGGGGGCTGAGGCCAGGACGGGGTGGGGAGGTTGGGTCCAGGGTCGGGACCGGACCAGGGGCCGGGGACGACGACGAACGAACGAAAATAAAGAGGTCCGAGCTCTAGAGCACAGCTGTGCAAGATAATAAAGATGTCGGGGCGAATAAAAGGGGGCGGCTGGCGCTGCGCGCTGGGCTGCTGGGGAGAGGGGGAGGGGGGGGGGCGACGACGACGCCGAAATAAAGTGGTCGGGGCGGAGAGGGCGGCGCGCTGGGCTGCTGGGGAAAAGGACAGGGGGGGGCGACGACGACGCCGAAATAAAGTGGTCGGGGCGGGGGGCAGCGCGCTAGGCTGCTGAGGAGAGGGAGAGGGGGGGGCGACGACGACGCCGAAATAAAGTCGTCGGGGCGGGGGGGCGGTGCGCTGGGGTGCTGGGGAGCGACACATAGCGACACATGTCGACACAACGCCGAAATAGGGCGACGACGACGCCGAAGTAAAGTTGTCGGGGCGGAGAGGGCGGTGCGCTGGGCTGCTGGGGAAAGCGACGCATGTCGACACAACGCCGAGACAGGGCGACGACGACGCCGAAAGAAAGTGGTCGGGGAAGAGAGGGCGGTGCGCTGGGCTGCTGGGGAAAAGGGCCGGGGGGGGCGACGACGACGCCGAAATAAAATGGTCGGGGCGGAGGGGGCAGCGCGCTGGGCTGCTGAGGAGAGGGAGAGGGGGGGGGGGCGACGACGACGCCGAAATAAAGTCGTCGGGGCGGAGGGGGCGGTGCGCTGGGGTGCTGGGGAGCGACACATAGCGACACATGTCGACACAACGCCGAATAAAGTGGTCGGGGCGGAGGGGGCAGCG